AAAAAAAAAAGCAAATGCATTTAAAAAATATATTTCTTTAAAAATAATACTATTTGAATACTTTTTGATGTAGGTACTTTTTCCGGAGAAGCTCGACTCCGAGGAGAAGTTATTGTTGCAGACAACAAAAGTGTTGAGCAGTGCTCCATTGCCGAGGTGGTCAGATGTTTGAAGGGGAAGTCCAAACACGTTGAAAATGTGAGCGTTTATGAAGACTTCACTGTTCGGTGGACCATGAGAGGAGAGGGTGTCTTTCACCTGGGAGCATAATGAGTTATGAGAGGACAGTGTGTCTTTCACATGGGTACATAAGGAGATATGAGAGGACAGTGTGTCTTTCACCTGGGTGCATAAGGAGATATGGGAGGACAGTGTGTCTTTCACATGGGTACATAAGGAGATATGAGAGGACAGTGTGTCTTTCCCCTTGGTACATAAGGAGATATGAGAGGACAGTGTGTCTTTCACATGGGTACATAAGGAGATATGAGAGGACAGTGTGTCTTTCCCCTTGGTACATAAGGATATATGAGAGGACAGTGTGTCTTTCACGTGGGTGCATAAGGAGATATGAGAGGACAGTTTGTCTTTCACCTGGGTACATAAGGAGATATGAGAGCACAGTGTGTCTTTCATCTGGATGCATAAGGAGATATTAGAGGATATTGTGTCTTTCACCTGGGAAACTATGGAGATTTAAATACATTATTAAATTATGGGTTAAAAAATAAAATATTGAGGTAAATATGATAGGATTTCGTGATTTTAGTGTGACTGAAAAAAATCATTCATTTCTTTCTTGGGTCAATGAAATATTTAGATTTTACAGCTATAAGGATTTGACTACTGCAGTGATTTGACTGATGTAATGATATAATCATTTGACTGCCTTAATCATTTGGCTAATGTCAAATTGAAGTTATTTCAATGTAGGAACAAATTTAAATTGTACGTATTTTTTTGGGAACAGGTTGACAGTATTAGTCTCTTACATAAATATGCGAATTGTTAATAAAACTGTAACTTAACAATTGTTATGCACCAGAAGACTAGTCCTTAGCTAATCAAACGTTCTTGCTTCAAAGAATACTCTCAAACACATTTTAAATGGGCCTTTTATTGCATGCTACTAAATTTTGTTTGTTGAATAAAAAGAAATATGAAATATTTGATTTGTGTTGAGATTGAGAATACTGTGTCAAATCAAATATGAACCAAATTCGTATTTGAGTTTTTTAATTTTGTAACTTTGTATTTTATAACGAATAAAATTGATAATTTGCATTGCCATATAAGATGCATACTGATGGTCATATTTTATGCTAAAAAATTGTTAAAATTTAAATATTAAATATTCATATTATATGTTGTCTTAAGTAACAATTGAATTTATTCTTGCCATGATACATGTAACAAAATTCAATAAAAGTGACCAGATTAAACCTAAACAAATTGCATTTAATTCATTTTATATATCTAATTAGATTTTTAATTTTCTTTTTTTTTTAAAAAGTATTTACAGCCTATTAAAGGGTCTTTTAGTGGGCGTGCCATATCGGAAGAAAACAGATTTAATTAAACAATCTAAGAATAAAAAAAAAATAAAAAACCTTGGATGAGCTGTCGAGGAGTTATTCAACTGTTTAAAAAACAGTATGAATCAAAAACATTTTAGATTAACAAAATTATCAATAAATAATTTGATGTCTAAAAGTGTCTTTAGTCATTGTTGTTGTTGTCACTGTTTTTTTTTTTTTTTGGTGGTGTTTTTTGGTTGTTGTTGTTGATTGACGTGTTGTCGTTGGTAATGGTGTTTTGGGGGCGGTGTAGCCCAATGCGATAAAACCATGGTAAAGTGTTCACGGTTGACTGCTCTTTTAGTTAGTCAGCGTTTGACCGAATCTTCTATTTCTATAGTTTCCACAGAATGGGATTCCTCTGATGGCTAAACCAATTAACGTTTCCAATTGATCTGATGTATCCCAAAAGATCATAATTATTTGATAAAAGATCAAGAAAGTTTCGATGTATTCCCGGGAATATACACTGGCAGACATGGGATGACCAAGAGTTTTCCCCATTTTTAAATAAAGATTTAGGGGCGACCACTGGTTTTCCCCAAACTAAATTTACCGAACTCACCAAATGGTGCATCTGCGCTCTATGTCCTCAGTTTATGCAGTAGGTTTGAAACAAGAACACCCCGTCAAAGAATAGATGGCCAAGTTTGTAGCGATTTCCCGCTTAGCATCCATGTCTGGCGCTGTTGAGTTATCCACAATGTTATTAACGGGAAAATTCACGAAAAAAATCACCAATTTTCGATAAACAATCAACAATAAGCCAAAACCAGTGTCCAAAAACAGAAGAAAAAAAAACACGTCATCAAAGTTAAACTAAATCTAATTATGCTTAAACAAAACTGCAAGTAACATTTACAATCAAAAGACACGCTCCGTCCTATAGGGGACGAAAAAACAGCCCCGGTAAAGCCTTTACCAAGATCGTTTCGTTTCTTCATGACGTGGTTCTAAATTTTAAAAAAGAAAAATATTCTAGAAGAATATAAAAATAACCAAATGTGTATTTCCATTAAATGACCAATGAAATCAATTCGGCCACGTAATCTAAGGGTTTGAGTTTATAAGTCTTTGCTTCTCTTAGATATTATATTCAAAAATTTCACCAAAGAGGTTTTCAACGGACTTAGATTGTTATTTTGCTAAATACATTTTGGACAGTTTTTTGTTAAAGTATTTCGTGAGGGAAAAAAAGAAGGTACGTCTGCGAATAACTTTCATGTTATTGTTGTTGTTGTTGTGCGTATCATATTCTTTTTTTTGTGTCTTTTTGTTTTTTTGTAAGAAAGACTTATGAAATTCTGAAATTGACAACTAAAAAAATAATAGCAACCATACAGATGTCATTTAATGTTATGTATCTAAAAAGCTCGAAAACAAATCAAAAGCTCCTTTCAATTTGTCAGAGTTGTATAATTGTTTTAATTTTTTTTCTAAATAGGTGTATATTTTTTTTTAAAGTAAACAACTTTTTAAAGAATCTTTTCCACAGTATTCACTTTTTTTGCTGGGAAAATGTCTGTTTGTAACGCTGGTAAATGGATAAGGGATTATCAGACAAGAAATGGCTTACAAGGTAAGCGGGTACGTCGACGGTTCTCAAACCAGATCTAGCCCTAATGCACCCAACATCTAAAAGTATTTGCTTTCTTCCGGTCCTCCTACTTCTAGAGCAGTGGTCTTCAAAGAGGACACTCACAGGGGTGCTAAGAAACTTCTAAGGGGCGCTGAGAACAGTCTAAAGGGCACTAAGAATATTCTAAACGGCACTTAGAACAGTCTAATGGGCAGTAAGAACAGCCTAGATGGCACTAAGAACAGTCTAAACAGCACTATAAAAAGCTCAGTCAAAACAGCACTTAGAGCAATTTAAAGGACACTAAAAACCTTCAAAACAGCACCAAGATTAGTCTAAAGGGCTCTAAGATTAGTCTAAAGGGCACTAAGATTAGTCTAAAGGGCTCTAAGATTAGTCTAAAGGGCACTAAGATTAGTCTAAAGGGCACTAAGATTAGTCTAAAGGGCACTAAGATTAGTCTAAAGGGCACTAAGATTAGTCTAAAGGGCTCTAAGAACAGTTTAAGGAGCGCTAAGAGCCTCAAAGAGGGGTGGGACTGCTGGTGAAATTCACACCCATAGAATTTTAAAAACACTATTTTGATTTTATTTGTTAAAAAACAAGTCCAGGAAAAGCATTACTGTAAGGAGTTCTGGAAAGGACAGATGAGAAGATGTCCAATTATTAAAAATATGACAGATGAGCAAGGTGCAATGGGGAGACAATGTTTAGAATTGAACTTAGAAGAGTGGAGTCACCGAATGATTTTCAAGCTTTTCAATGCATGCACACCTTTTGTTTTCTTTGAAAAATAGATAATGTCTACTCTGGCGAACAAGTATCTCACCATGTTACTTAATTCTGTTTTAATAATGAATTGTCCTGCCTTAGAAATGTCGTGTTCCTGAATCAAGTTAGCCAGTTCATGACCGATTTAGTCATTTACATATGTTCAATCAGAATTCAGGTAAGTTTATTTACCTTTTTTTTTCTAATTGTTATTACATTAAAATTTCAATCCATTACCAGGTTCTATAAATAGGAAAAATGTAGTACTTTCATACGGACATGTAGAGTGGTCTGCATTAGATTTTGTGGTAAGTAAATAAGCACGTGGTTTTATTTTTTTTATAGAAAGCAGTTATGACAAATCACAAACATTAATTTTGACATTTTTGATTTTAACACAAAAAAAAATTCTTAGAGACTGTTAGAAAATCAGACTCTACCTGTAACTTCAACGTCGAATAGTTTAAACTAAATTCTAAATTAGTTTTTTACCCTATTGTTTTTATTTAATATCCCAAATCAAGCTAAGATGAATTTCTTGCTAGCCATTGACGTCCCACATGTGTGTTTCATGTCCAATGTGATTACTGTATCTTTGTGTTTTCGTGATGCCGGGGAAATCGGCCTTGCCAAGCAGCCTGGCAGTGGCAGTCGCAGTGGCAGCTTTTAAATCTAGATACTCCACAGTGCCCTATTTAAAAAAAAAAAAAAAACACAGGTTAAATGAAACGTTGAACTGATTGAGGATACTGTAGCGCTTAAGAACGGGTTGAAATTGGTTAAACATGTCTTACAATTCAGTAATCATTAACGTCATCATCCTTTTTTTCTTGTCTCTGGCAGAAATGATCATGGTCTTTTTATTTTTTTTATTTTTACCAATCTTTTTTAGTCCCCAAGTCTCCATTTAATCCATTTTTTTTTATTTATTAGCTCTGATATTATGTTTTGGTAGCGCTGATTGATGCAGGTATGTTTTGATTTTGCCTTGATATTCCTTGTTTAGCTAGTATGTAACAGATGCCTCATTTCCCGAATATTGCTTTGTCGCCTTATACACTCTGCCCCTTAATCCACTCTTTCCCCTTAGTCCCTCTGTCTCCTTATTCCTTTGCCCTCTTATCAATTCTTCCGCTTATCTATTTTGTCCCCTAATCTATTTATTTATTTAGGCATTGTTATATGGCGCTTACCTAAAGCTCTAAGCGCTTTACAATTATTAAAAACATGTAAACTAAGTAAAATAAAAATGAAAAACCAGAGACACTAGGATAGTAACTACTATACTATAGAAACAATTAAAATGGCTATACAACGAGTAGACATTGGCACGTTTTGGCCTATACTACAGGATCAACCCGAGACAGAAAAGGAGGCAGGGCAAGGAGGGTGCATCACAGGTCATAGGCGGACCTAAACAGATCTATTCTGTCGCCTAATTTTTTTCTGTCCCCACTCTATTCTGTCCCCTGCCTTTGATTAGGTATATCGATTACAAATTATTGTCACTAATCGGTGGTCACTTATCCAACCCTTTCAGGATAATCAGACTTATCCAATGGCTGGAAATGAAGGACGTGTTTTTACTACGGAGATTGGAACTGAGGTGGAAATTACCTCTGGGATGCTGAGGGGTAAAGTATTTTGGTGATTGTGGTGGTAATCTGGGGGGTGTACATACTAGACCCTGTTTTGTGTCTAAGCGGGATGGGAGGGGGGATTGGAAGTAAGTGATATCAATTTTTTGTTGTTTTGGGGTAGAGATTAGATCAAGGCATAGAGAGTATATAAATTAACGTTTCATTTTGACAGGACTTCATCGTTATGTGTCACTTCCGCTTAACGGCCTTCCATGGTACGTCACAAATCTGGTCAATGACCCTATAGAAATTGATGTCGCAAGACGAAAAAATTACGACACAGACGAGTGTGCATATACAGTGGGGGAAATACAGCTCGCTAGGAATCGCTTTGGTAAGCATGCTTTAATTTATGTCGACACGTTTTTGCACTAGACCTGTCCGTTAATTTGTGCATCCAGAACTTGATTAGTTAAACAGTAAAATTTGACAGATGAAGGCAAGACTGGAATACATTTTGGTAAATTATATGACAGCTTTACCGATAATGTATGTTTATGAATCAATATTCATGACACAAACATCATTTCTACCTTCTACAGTTTTCAATTATCTTGCTTCATATAAATATAAAAAATATAATTACAATTTTTCTTGAAGGTTTAAACAAAAATTCCAGAGGACAGGATGGATTTGAAGTAATCGATATTAATTTTACCCACCCCCCCCCCACCCCAAAAAAAAAAATTAAAAAATCAATGTTTTCTTTAGTATAGGTGCTAAATAGAACCGCATTCCCACAGAAGTATTAACTTCATTTATTAGGAATATTAAAATTATTTATAAGAAATATAAACATCATTTAATAGGAATATCAACTTAGGAATATCAACGTCATTCGTTAAAATATTTGAGACCCATTGACAACCTTAACAATAAGGACAGCTGATTTTCCGTGTTTCCATCGAGTTTGGGCTTTTGATCAAAGTCGTGTTCTCCCAAACATGAGTTTGATTGGCTCACAATTTAGAGTTAAGCACCGTAGTTCCAAAACTAATTCAAATGAAAGCAAAAGAAGCTCGAGGTCTGCTATGCAAACTAATTCCGTGCAAGATTCCTTGACAAGAGTTTGTTGACTAATCAATCTTTGCAGATTCAGATTGTTCTTTAGTCAATCTTAGCAGACTCAGATTTTCGTTTAATCAATCTTAGCAGACTCAAATTGTCGTTTAATCAATCTTAGCAGACTCAGATTGCTGTTTAATCAGTCTTAGCGGAATCATTTTGTCCACTTAATATCTTAGCAGACTCAGATTGTCGACTAACTATCTTAGCAGAATGGGATTATCCTCTGGGCTAAGCTGGGAGCGTCAAATTGGCCTTGTGGCCTCTATGGCACTGAGCCAAAAGAACACAACTGAGCCTGAAGAATAATTGCAATGCTCCATTAAATATAGGTTTTGGTCTGACTTACGGATATGAGCTTATGTGACCCACGGGACAGTGGCTCAACAAAATTTCGTTTGAGGACCACTGCTCTAAAGCTTTTATGGTCTCTACTTCAAATTTGAAAAAAAAAAACATCTTTATAAATCCAAAATAATTGAGTGTTTAAGATTGTCGTTTTTTCTCTGTTAGCGACTTTCAAATGCGATGTACAGTTGAAAGGATATGTCATCTTCAACACTTCAATCTATGGTGGGTCACTCCAGAGTGCGGATGAAGTTGATATACGTGAGATCGTCAGGCATACATCCTGGACCTTGGAGGGAGAATGCACATTCCATCTTGGCCTGAACGACAGCATCGTCTGGTATTAAGAAGTGATTGGGATATAACCACACATTGATTTGGATGGAGTAAATAGTGATTGGGATATAACTACACATTGATTTGGATGGAGTAACATAGTGATTGGGATATAACTACACATTGATTTGGATGGAGTAACATAGTGATTGGGATCGAGATACGTAGCGATTGGGATAGAGTTACACAGTCACGGGGATAGAGTTACACATTGATGGGATACATATTGTCTGGGATAGAGCTGCACAGTGATTGGGGTATAGATACACAGTGATTGGGATATAATTACATTGTGTTTGGGATATAGTTACTCGGTGATTGGGATATAGTATTGTGTTTGGGGTATAGTTACACAGTGATTGGGATGTAGTTACCTAGTGTTTGGGATAGAGTTACACAGTTTTTGGGATAGTTACACAGTTAGGGATAGAGTTACACAGTGATGGGATAGAGTTACATCTTAGACGTTGGCTTTAAGATTATTAATTGCTCTCGTCTGTATGGTACATGTTTTCAGTTATGTGTGGACTGGAATTTCAGTGTATTTTTTTGTGTGTTTTGTTACTGATACTGTCTTTTAAAAATATCATGTATTTTTTAACTCAAGAGCAAGAACACATCTTTATTATTATTTTTATTTATTTTTTGGGGAAAATTTTAATTAATTTTTTTTAAAGTGTTCTTTAATTTACTCAACACCCAAGATCGTGGTATCATGCACTGCCTTGTTGAGTTACTCATATATGTTTAACTAACAAAATTATTTCTAGATGTCTAATGTATAAGTATTATTGTTTTATTATTGTTGTATTGTTGGTTTAATTAATGCTTCAATATCTGGTAACATAAATGTATAGGGGGTTTTATGGCCGGGGGGGGGGGGGGAGATGGTGTAACATCGAGACACGTACAGATCCAGGGGTTAAATGAACATTCCATAAAACAAAAATTAGAGTTAATTACCTAGAAATTTGTGTGTGGTAAATAGAGTTCTGTAATAAATGTATTTTATAGTAATGAAAGTGTTATTTAAAATTTATAAGAATTTGGAAAAAGTAGATCTTATGTCTTATAAATTTTAAGATCAGAAAAAATGTTTAAATCAATATAAAACCCATTAAAAATATATATATTCTAGATATGCTTTTTAGTTATCTTTTATGTTAAAATAATGTTGTATATTATGATAAAAATCACTTGACAAGGACCATATCCTTAAACCAAACAAGAGATGAAGACCTAAATGTTACGCTTTGCAAAGCGAGGCACGCGGATCGATCCGGTCTCGCTGTGCACAGAGTTGGTATCGAGGCTAGTCACCGAAACTTGTGGTAAGCAGGGGACCGCCTCTCTTACGTGGCGCGTACTACAGACCTCGGCGCAGGCAAAAATTTTTGGTTACATGTTTGGGGGAATTCTCAACTGCAAAAATGGCTATGACGTGGATTTTGAAAAAATTTGGACACGTAATTATAGTTGGTATATAAGAGCCTTCATGACTCCTGGAGTCTTTCTATCAACTTTTCAACAAAATTTAGTTTAGTTTTTATTCTAAGAATCCATCTAAAAAAGTAAATTAAAATCATATTTTAAAAAAAAAATTGTTCTGGTAAGTAATTTTTTTTTTTTAATTTAAAAAATAATAAATTTGCATGTCCTTATTATGTGTAATAGAAACTACTTAAACATAATTATTGCTATTTATATATGTAATATAAATAATATGTATCACTAATATAATAATATCACTATTAGATCACTACAATTGTGAAGTTATTTCAACATTGTTATCAGGGTCATGTAACTTTTTGCATGATTCTAAAAAATGGATAATAGTGGATACATTTAGGTTTTAATTTTGGATAATGTATGGAATTGTGGATAGGGTATATATTATATATAATAAATATATATATATATATATATATATATATATTTATTATATATATATATATATAATAAATATATATATATATATATATATATGTTTATATATATTTATCCACATAACAATAGTTTATACAAGCTTATTTATATATCTATATATCTATATATCTATATCAATATATATATATATATATATCTATATCTATCTATCTATCTATATATATATATATATGTGTGTGTGTGTGTGATATTATGTATGTATATAAATTTATTTGTGTGTAAGAGAGAGAGAGAGACAGAGAGAGAGGGAGAGAGAGAGTGAGGGGGAGAAACTTAGAAAATATGTCCCTGTGTGTGTTTACTTTTCAAGTAACTGCCTATATTTTCTAGCATCAACTCAGCAAAACTTTGTTTTCCTTCTTTTTCAGACCTTTAAGCAGCAATGGCCAGATCCCAGAAGAATTGTGTTGATTTGAAAGAAATTACAAATGAATGGAAGAATTTGGAGACAGTGAAAGGTAAGAAATTCTACAGACAGAAATTAGGATCTTTCAACTTTTGTAAGACTACGCTTACAGGATGGGAACAGTCGAACATCTGTATTTGCATTTAGTGTTATATTAACTAGAGACACACATATAGCTTCAATTATTCAAATTTAAAAAAAAATTAACCATTGGTTTTGGGTTGGAGGGAGGAGAGGGAGACTGGATAATAAATTAGTGTAATATAAATGACATATAAATGAATGAGCTTTTACCAGTCATATAGTGTTAGATTGACCAATGGAGAACTCTTTAGGTAAAGCTCTACCATAAAAGGCATTTATTTACATGGTAAGGTATTGTTTTTTTGAAAGAAGACAATCCATTTAACAGATAATAATTTCGTTGTCTTATGTTTACAGGTGAAGCTAATTTTAGAAACCTGAAACTGTCAGTCACAAACGTCCAGTGGACCAATGTCACATGTCTGTCTGACCCGGGGAAGACACAGACAACAACGGTATAAGCCTAGAATGTGGATAACTGAAATGCCTAAATTTTAGCATTGATGTTAAATCTTGATCCTGTAAATTACCAAAATTGTTTTAAGTTTGATGCAAATAATCAAATTATTGATTCGCTGAATCAAGTTTTTAAAATTATGTCTATTTTTTCCCTTCTCAATTCTCCTTTAGGTTTCTGCTGAATATACCAGTGAGCAGAAAGATCGACTTGCCAATGTCAGTGCAAAATATCCCAACCAGATCGGTACCCACGTGACCATTCAAAAAGGTTATGTCAAAGGTAAGCCAGGAGTGTTGTTATACCTTACCCGCATTGGGCCTCAAGAATGTAACTTACTGTATTTCATGAAATGTATAGACTTGTGTCTCAATTTTAACTGACACAAACTAATTCCTATCTGCTTTAATTTGAAGATCTGCACAAGACCTTCACCCTCCCGTTGGCTGGACTCCCGAAAGCCATCACAGATGTCCTGGGGTCATCCGTTGAGATTGACGTGGGCACTGCAGAGACCAATGAGCAGAAGATGGAACTGTTTGTCTCGAGTTCCCACAAGATTGACCAAACGGATGGGAAGGCACCCACAGCAGCAGAAGCTACCATTACGTCATCAACCGGAACTTACGTGGGTAAGTTTTAAAACAAAATAAGAGCTTCAAAATTAAATTTGTCTTTTTATAATTTTAAAATAATCTACTTTGTTAAATACCTGAATAGATAAATATTATTTCAAAAAAAAAATATTTATTGAAAATAATTGAATAAAAATATTTTAAGTCTTAAATTAATGCGAATGTAAATCTAGCATACCCAAATTCTATAAGAAAAATAATGATGAACAGTTGCTATTTTTAAATGTAAGAAATATTATTATTATAATGATAAATCTTATGCTCGTTTTGCCCTCTACAGGTCAGTTCTCTGGTAAGGCTGAGCTAAGAGGAGAAGTGATTCTCAATGACAACAAAAGCGTTGAGCAATGCCACTTCTCAGAGATGGTCAACTGCATGAAGTCAAAGTCCAAAAATGTTGAAACCCTGTCTGTATCCGCCAATGGCTTGACCGTCCACTGGACCATTACGGGAGAGTGTTTGTTCCACCTGGGCACTAAGGCGGCTGTGCAGTGGAGCGAGAGACGATGAGAACTGCTCACGCATAACACGCGATCTTCACATTCCAAATTAACTCAGAAAAAATGATTCATGATAGTGTGTGAACGCTTTGGATAATACATCATAATGTTCTAAATTCAATTTTGTTCGTGATATCCTTAACTTGAAACATTTGTTTAAACTTGATGATGAAACATCATGATGTCCTTGACTGAAAACTTGTGCTTAAACTTGATGATACATTCAGACAAATAATTTGCTCACTTGAAACAAATCGTTTTCTACAGTAGTGGGAAGAAAACTTGAGCTGAAATGAAGATGATTTAATTGTATTTTTTTTTTCTCATATTAAATGTTTTGAAATTTTAAATTGTGCAAAAGTAAAACAACACATGTTTTTTTACGAATCCCATAATAATAGATTTTTGGATATCTCTAATCAGAGATAGACCTGGACATATATGTAATGATTAGGATGTTGCTATATTTTTAACAAAAATATATCATTAGAAAACTATTTTTTAAATTTCACCTTCAAAACTTGATGACGTATTTGTAAAAAAATTATAAATGTTTTGAACAGTGATGATTTTATTTACAAAATATTTTGAAATTTAAAAAAAAAAATGTAGCATATAAAATTGTATATTTAAAAACATAAATTGAAGTCATAGGGTATGTGCTTAATGCAAAATTATTTGTTTGTTTCGTAATATTAATATTTTTGGTGCTATCATTTTTTAATAATTCTGAATGAACCGTATTGTTGAAGGAAATGTTAGTAATCATAGATTAAATGTTTGTAATCATACATAAAATATTTGTATTCATAAATAAAATGTTTTTTATCATAAATAAAAATTTGATCTCATAATCGAAATGTTTTTATGAATAGCTCAAATGTTTGTGCTCAGAAATCAAATGTTTGTAATTCTAAAATGAAAAAACCGAACAACTTTTTAAAACTTTTTTATTTTTTAAGAAATTCGTGGCTTTGTTTTTCAGTTAGCTGAAGTCTTAGCTACAGTCTTAGCTATAGCAAATGTTGTACAGTGAGGATCTTTAAAATTGTTCACTATTGATTGCAACGATTTTATATCTTTGTCAAATATTAATATACCGTTGTATCTAGAGATGTGTATATATTTATTATTTTTGAGGGGAAAAAATGACACATTTACAAAAGTTTGTTACAAAATTTTGCTTTAATGTTTGTCTTGAGTTTAACGAATTAAACCTGGATGAAGTTATAGTTTTGTATTTTTTATGTTTGAATGTAGGATGACTTTTGATGTAGTGGAATGTTACCTACCTCTATGTTTGGTTCGTTTAGAAAACTTCGCAAACTAACAAACTATGTTATAATAATAATTATTCGCATTTAAAAAAATATATGTTCTTAGCGAGATTAGGTCACTTCAAAATTTAGCCTTTTTTTTTATTCACAACTCATGTGAATTGATGTGAATTGAAATTGTATGCATTTGTAATTGTATATAAAATGAAATTTCGATGTATTGTTATCCTTAAAAAATCTGTTATATGAAACAAAACATCAATATGAAAAATAAAGAAAATAAAAACTTTAATTTCGGTTCTTTAAATGTTCTAATTTATGTTTTTGAAAGTGACGTCAATTTTGTGCTGTTTTTCATTATTATTATTGTTTTAAAAGAAAAAGCAAAAAATCAAATTCCAATTTTTAAAAAAAGTAAAGTACCATATATTACTTTCGTTGGTATTTCATCAGAAGAATTTTTTGGGGCATTTGGTTATTTTAATGTAAAATTATTGTTTTAATAAAAAAAAATCAAAACGACAAGCTTAACAAATACTTTAAAAAGGAAATTTTTCTCGGTGTTATCCTTTGAAATCAAGTTTTAGAAAAGTCAGATAAGATTTTGCAAAAAAAAAAAAAAATTGCAAAAGAGGCTCCCCCACCCCCTACCTCCAAATCCCCCCAAAAATGAATTTTAAATACAAAGAGCAGAAATTTCCGTTTCGACGGTAAACAAAAAAACTTAACACCAAAGAAATGGGGAAAATGCGAGATTACCATTGATGCGGGAAATTCGAACTCATCAACTCTATTGGCGATAAGATGTTTGAACAAAATCCAGTTAACGACGAATGTAACGGTAGATATTAACCAAAATCGCATCGTTGTTCTCTAAGTAAGTTCATCAATTTAAGCTAAGAGCCTTGTCACAACGATTGCCGATTTTGATCGTTTTATTTTAAACAACGATGCATGCACTAAACCCGGGGGGGGGGGAGGGGGGGTGGTGGGGGGGAGGGGGGGAATTAAAAATCTTGTTTTAAAGATTTCCAGTAATATTGTAATTTTTAGCTCAACAAAAGTAAACAAAAGTAAACCAAAATTGGTTTGTCGTGCTCTACAGGTCATTTTTAATAAATGATTAATCAACAAGATGGTATCAATAAAACTCTTGTGACATTCCGAATCGATTAATTTTATGACAATATTTCATCGAAGCGTCTTCATGGGGCATTTACAAAAGTAAGACAAACAACACGTCACATGATCTTACTTCTAAATCACTGGAGCAATGAACATTAAAAAGTACCGATTCTATTTATAAACTTCCATTTTTTAAGGTTTTAGGGTATGACCGAATCATATTTTTAAAAAAAAAATTGACATCAAATTGCATCTAAATATATATTTTTTTTTAAAAATCACGTGATCAACCCTTGCATTTTGAAATAGAACTTTCTGAAAATAATGTTCGGGAATTTTCGAGCACCTATGTGCAGTTTTATGGCGGCCAAAGCGATACTCATGATTTATCCAAAGCCACGTAATCGAATCTCTTGGGTATAAAAAAGGCGCATTTTGGAGGTACGGTCCTCAGAACTACAGAAGACAACCTTTGGCACTGACTGGATTCTTAAACAAATCTTGGAATTTTTAATCATTTTAGTGTACCCCAAAAACAAGGTAAGTTCTAATGTGATTGAAATCTGAGTATTTCTGATGAAAAGGGGTCAATGGGTATAATCCCGAACTAGATTTTGTTGATTCTTGAAGGTGTTCAGAAATTCAACTTAAACCACAAAAACCGTAAAACTTTAGTGGACATTACTAACCGATCAGATTGTCAATAGGTGTAGTCATTAATTTGAGCATTCCGGAACTCCGAAAGGACATGGAAAATATTAAGACGCATATTCCGTGAGACCCCCCTCAAAGATGTCAGCCATATTTATTATCCGGCGAATGCCTCGCTTTGTTATTTGAAAAAGACGCGCTTTGAGTTTAGAAAACATCGGGGAAGACATTTCTTGAGCGACACCAGTTTAGGGAAGTCACGATAAATTTAATAAATAACTAAATAATATCTTTCAGATTGATCTATTTTATAATGTAAGATTCACTTCAGTGATCGCTAGTTTGAAATTCCCGAAGTACCATAAAAATGACCTAAGAGCAACAACCCTTTAAAACAATTTAATTGCAAATCGTCGACTTTCATTGCGAAATAATACTAAAGTTGAATGTTCTTTTTTTAATCGCTTTGATGATTGTGCGTAAGTTTACTAAAGAGTAAATGATTTCTTTCAGATATTTATAGTTCATAATGTTAAGATTCACTACCCGTAAATTCCCGAAGAACTTCATCAAATGACCAAAGGGGTACAACTCTTAAATCTTATTTTTATTAGCAAGCATCTACTTTCTTTGCGAAACATAAACACATTTTTTTTTTCTTCCGGGTGCAGGAAGATATTGCAAGAGACAAAATATTTAAAGCATGACCTACAAGTTGTTCTCAAATTGAAACGATTTTTGAAACATTACATTTTTACTTACACAACCGTCGCGCATCGAGAATCTAAGTTGTTCATGTTGAATAGTTGAGTTTCAATGTTGATCTTAGTTCCTTGTAAGAAACATAAATGCAAAAAATCAATTATACGAAGAACTAAGAAATCAGAACTTTTAACATTTTGATTTATTTTATTATTAGAATATTTTGAGCAATTAAAAAAGAAAAAAAAAAAATTTTTTTTTTCTTAACTTGTGTCAGCCCAAGAAAGGAACAAAATAAATATTTAAAGTGTAAAACTATTAGTAGTAACTAGATACACCGCGCCAAACATTGGCGACGGCAATGTACGAACTTCCCATCTACTAAAGTTACTTGACAAAACATGAACTCAAGTAACGCACATTTAAGAATCCCAATTTTTGCTACACCCCCCCCCTCATGATACGTCACTGACATGGGCGCCCGCAGGGGGGGGCACGTGCCCCACCCCCTGGATTGATTGGATAAAAAAATGTTAGACAAAAATAGACAAAAAATGTATTAAAGTAAAGAGAAAATAAAGAGAAAGTAACTAAGCTGATGTCCTGTCCGTTCGTTCACCATACAAATACGCTATAGTACATTAAAACTATCTAAAACATTACTAAAAAAATTTTGCCCCCCCCACCCCCCGCTAGAAAGTTTTCTGCGGCCGCCCATGGTCTCTGCACACTTTTTATTTCCTGCACATGTACAATATTAAATATGCTGATATCCCACCCACTTTTAAACAGAATATTATTCACACACATACTTACATTGAGACGATTACATTGTACGAAAAGAAAATATTACGCACCAAACGCAGTTGCGTTGTTAAACTATGTATCTATATATATAATTTAGCATAGTTATCGAGAAATATATTTTGAGCCCTATTCAACTCATTATTGAACCATAACTTTATTTCAAACATAGAGAATTATTTGTAATATAATCTCAAAACCAAATACGCTGGATAGAGAGGCAGCCAGAAATGGGAGCAGTAGCAATCCACGAGTTACACCAGAAGCATGATATAAATAAAAGATGATTGTGACGATGTCTTAAAACCGGGCTATACAACTTGGGGTGGGGGTGGGTTGGGTTTCCACAATCAGGGGAAGCGAGGTGAAACGGTAGGGGACTCATAGAGGTCATTAAATTTGAAACATTACATATATTTCAATTTTATTTGACCATTTCTTCATTAAAAATTTTACTTTATGGAATAAGTCACAAATATCCTTTTTCCTAACCAATTCTCTTTGTAATTCAATAAACTTTAAAAATCAATTTTTGAAGAAAGAAAAAAAAAAATTAAAGTGATGTGTTACTTTAATGAGTATGCGAAATAATAGTCAAATAATTTATAGGGCTTGCAGAATAAAAACAATTGGTTGTGAAGCCCTGTCTTGGAAGGTAAAGTCTGGGGCAAGATTCCTAAATTGTGACGGTAAACTAAGAACACATCATCACTCCTTGAGTATGGATCATTTCCCCCCTCATGCTTTGAGTATGCTAGTGTTTATAAGACACCATAAGGAAAATTTAGACATGGGTAGAACACACCCTTCGCAAACCTCTAGATAGCATCACCAGACAATCCCTAACATGGAATCCAAAGGGCAAAAGAAAGAGAGCAAGGCGAAAGAATACACGAAGACGCGTGCTAGAGGCAGACACTCAACGTATGGGATACACCTGGAGGCAACTGGACAATAAAGCACCGAGTTGAATACAAAGTTCTTATAGAAGCCCCATGCCACATGTGGGGTAATTGGTGTAGACGAGAAAGTGGTGTTGAATGAGAGCAATTTTCCTGACAGTTTCAATTCGAAAATAAAATAAATAGCGTCTTTGAAATTAATGCTAAATAATTATGCATGAAATTATTCGCCTGTCCAAAATAGTTATGAGATACTGCTATATGTTTGAAATTGTGAAAAATATTTACATTTTAAATATGAACCCACACTTGTAAATTTTAAATATGAACCAACATTTGTACATTTAAAAATTAACCAACGTTTGTACATTTTAAATATGATCCAACAATTTTTTTAAAATTTTTAAAAATTTTTTAGCATCTAAAAACGATAAGAGTAATATTTAGCATTCATTTCAAGACTTATGTCCGCGAAGGCTGACAATGGAAAGTAGCAACGAGTCATTATTGAGATGTTCCTTTAATTCGATCATTTCGAAATTATAATCGCATTTATGTTTGTTATATCAAAATATGACTTAATGAGTCAAAATGGGACAGAATGTGACAGAATGTGGCTGAATGTGACAGAATGTGACAGAATGTGACGGAATGTGACAAAATATGACAGAATTCAGCAAAAATGAACACCGTAAAGCTGTATTTTGAATGCTCAGATAATTCAATTTGATTTTGAAGCTTTTTACAAGTTTAGTTGTCTGATCTGGAAATATGAATTCTAAAACGGAAAAAGAATGTAACATCACAGAAAAATTTTTGTTTTTAAGTGAACATGTGGCTACCACATATTATAGGTAGAAAAATACGGTTAGGGTAGCAACATAGGGTTAGGGTAGCAACATAGGGTTAGGGTAGCAACATAGTGTTAGGGTAGCAACATAGGGTTAGGTTAGCAACATATGGTTAGGGTAGAAATATACGGTTAGGGTAGTAACATAGTGTTAGGGCAGAAACATACGGTTAGGGTAGCAACATGGGGGTAGGGTAGCAACATAT